TTTAGATTTGATGGTGCACTGTACTTTTAGATCCAACCTCGGGTACGCGTCGCATCTAAAACGTTAAAACCAATGTCCGATGTGTTCGGTAAATGTTTACACCTCTAATGTTCTGGCTTCAGATGTGACTTAATGAACAGTTTTATGTATGTTGGATTTTTTGTTTACGTTCAGGGTGTCGGTGTGAGAGAGCTCTGGCCGACCTGAGCACTGCACTCAGGCTGAATGAATACTCACCGACGACGACCGGCAGGACCTTCATGGCCTTCCGTTCCCTCCCGCTGACTCTGCTGCTTTTACTGTTCCTTCTTCCTCTCTTTGCAGCGTTCGTCTTCATCAGGCCGTTCTCTCTCCTGCTGCTATCCTCCCTCCGCTCTGTGGGCTCACCGTCCGACACACTGTCCATCTGTGTCGTCATCGGGTCGCTCTCCGGTGCCACCGCTGCCGCCCCGTCCTGCTGCTCTTCTGTCACTGGGGTGGCAGAGGGCGTTGTCATGGTGACGGTTGATGGAGAGGTGGGGCTGAGGCTGGTTGGCGTGGCGTACACAACTTTCCCTCGACTCCCGGTGGCTTTTGCTCGGCGTAAAGCCGAGCCGAGACGTAAAGAGAGCGCTCGACGACCAGCTCGACCCGCCTGAGATCGACTCCGACCGCTCCACCGCCGCAGGCCTCGAAACATCCAATAATACAAAAAGAGCATGACGGGGCAAGGCACGAAGAAGGAGCAGACGGATGAGTAAACCACGAAGCGGTCGTCCTCCAGTTTGCACACGCTCGGATCACGACCCGGAACCTGGTTCAGACCAAAGATGACCGGACTCGCCACGCCCAGAGAAAGCACCCAGGTAGCAGTGATGAGAGCCAGCTGACGGACACTGAACTGGTTCCTGTTGTACTTCAGAGGGACCACCACCGCGATGTACCTGGAACACAACAGACAGGTGAAACAATCTGGGCATCGTTTGTTTTTTGTTTTTTTTAAAACCGAATAAAAAAAACCAACCAAAAAGTTGTTTTAGAACCAAAATGGAACAATCACGTTTTTGGTTTTATTTGTGTTTTTTTGTTTGTGCTGCCCCTCTCCGGGTGTCCACAGGGTGGGTGGGCTGCCCCTCCACACACTGGCAGGCTGGATCCAGTTTTGGACCTGGAATGGTAACTACTGCCAGATTAATTCATAGGACACAGACCACTGTCTTTGAGCCTGTCCTTGCCAACTTCAATTGGCTGACATCTGAGGGTCGTCAGCTGATTAATTTCAGGCCTTTGAGCTATAGAAGCTGGTCTCTCCCTCATACAGCTGGCATCCACCTGTCTTTGGTTCTGTGTTAACTTTAGTTTAATAAATTACTCTTGTTTTAAGTAAATCTTGTCACACTATCACACCAGTTTGTGACACCCAAAGTTGCAAATAATAATCAAAGAGGTCCAGTATTCATGTAAGCTCTCTCCACAGTTTAATGCTGGTCTGATCCACATCTGATTCTCACTGGATGTTTAACACACTGAATTATACACTAGAAACCCTCACAGTAAATATGTTACATCAATTACACAGTCTCCATATTGTTAACCCTTTAAAAACAGACCTCCTGCAAGTAGCCATTTTTTGCATTATCCCTTTTAAGCAATCTAAAATGAATCTACAATAGCATTCATTCTTTTTACAGAGGAAAGCTAAGGCTTCCGTCTTTAACACCATCATATCTCACAACATTACGTAGATCAGTATCCCCTCTGCAATGTGTGATTCTGGTCTGTCTTAAAGGAAAGCGATCAATCGTAAGAGAGACATGGTGAAATCTCTAGTTGGTGTTCCTGATCTCACTGTGAAACATCTGATGAATAATTTAGAGCTCCTGAGACCAAAAACAGGCTGCAGCAAATATCTGATTAAATTTAGAACCAAAGTTTCTCTCAGTATGACAAACCAACCAACCAACATGACTACAAACCATCTAATCAGCTGGTCTGCAGGCTACAATTGGTGTTGATTTTTGTTGGTGGTAGTCTCACAGGTAAACAGCAGTAAAACCTACCTGTTCGTCAGAAATGAAGAGGACTTTCAGATGAGATAAGACTGCCAGCAAACTGTAACGCAGAACTTGTGATGGTCTTTTTCTGTATGTGTATTTAGTTTCATGTTTCAGGCAGGATAATGAATTCAGCCCCTGTTGTCTTATTATCTTCAGGTGTTTCATTACATTTCCTCAACACTCTTAAAGCTGTCAGTCGGCTCCATTAGCAGCTGTTATCCATAAAAATATAATCAGCTGTTATCCCACTAACAAAGTGCTAACGTGACTGTGGTTCTATAAATGTGATTAAATTGTGTTTTCTCTGCTTCATGAAGAACACAATGACGTTCAGAGATCTAACAGACCTCAGTTAACACAATGCTGAAAGGTATAAAATAAATGTAATGAAAGTCATTTAAAATAAAAGCGTGTTCATTGAGATTGATTGAGTTCTCTTTAATAGTCTTTACTGTGAGGAAGAGGATCATCACATAATCATTATTCTTTGCAGATGAAATATTCTTGTGATTCATTCAGGTCAAACTGAGGTTGTGTCATTTGAAAATCTTAATTAGCTCTGCTGGCAGTGTGTTGCCAATTAAGTGTATTATCTCCTGTGTGATGGAGGTCATCACACTGTAATGAGTGGCACCCGTTACTCCTGCAGTAAGAAGGCTCATTTAAATATATGACAAGGATATGTGAGACAATAACAGACAATTTCTCTTCTTGTTAATGTAAATTCATCTGCAGTGACTCAAGCTGTAGATTTAGATCCACAGACATGGAGGCACAGACTCACCTGTCCACGCTGATGGCACACAGGTTGAGGATGGAGGCGGTACACAGCATGACGTCCATGGTCATCAGAGCATCACAGATGTAGGTGCTCAATGTCCAGATACCTCCCAGGAACTAAACACAAACAACCACGCTGAGTGAACTCAAACGTCCTCACAGTGTCCTCACAAGTCAAGTGTCCTCAGTATGCAGGTGTAAACTCGTATCAGTCCTCACCTGTCCTCACTGACCTCAGAGCAGGTATAGGCTTTCTAAACTATCCTCACTTTCTATCTTCTCCTCTCTCTGTAGGTCCTGATAATACAGGTCCTGATAAATACTGACCTCAGTACTGTCCTCACTTTATAACATGTCCTTGTATGCAGGTACAAAGTCATACTGGTCTGACCTCAGAGTAGACATAGAGCGGCAGCACCAGCACCGCCAGCAGCAGGTCGGCCACCGCCAGGCTGATGATGAAGTAGTTGGTGGCAGTTTTCAGGGAGCGTTCAGTGAGTACGCTCAGACACACCAGGATGTTCCCCAGGATGATGACCAGGATTAGGGGGATGCCGAGGACCAGGGCCAGGTAGTTGTAGTCCTTCGGGTGCGTCTCACCTGGAGGGCTGCCAGGTGTCACATTGTCCATGATGGAGGCCCTGAACACAGCTGCTGGGCTGCACTCAACATCTGGACACAAACAGTTCAGTGTGGAGGTGTTTACTGTGTTTCATTGATTCAGAGTATTCATTACATGTGCAGGACTCACCTTGCTGTTACCTGTCCCAGGTGTTGCCTCAGTACTCTGTGTGATTGAATCTCAGCAGTTTGACAGCAGACTGAGTTCAGATTGTTCTTGTCACTCATTGTGATTTGGTCTGCTGGTGACTGGAAATAACGAAAAGCACCAAATGTGGATTAATCCGCTGCTTAAAATAGTCCCCAATAAAAGCACAATTTCCTGAAACATGAAATTATATATTTGTGTTTGTAAAGATTGTGATGAAAGTTGGTTCGTTTAAGGATGAACTCTAATAACTCAAACATTTAACTGTTAAAGAACTGTAACTCTAATTTAAGTTATTGTACTTGGGTTTTATTTATGTGTATTTGTTGTGTAAATGTATAAACACTAAAAAAAACAACAGCCAGGGAATGTGTTTGATCAGAAAACTATTGTGTTTACATTCATTAAATGAATCTATTGTGTTTACATTCATTAAATAAATTTATTGTGTTTACATTAATTACATGGTTGGATTATGTTTGTTAGACAAGATTCAGAGAAAATTCAGATGAATGAACACATGTTGGTCCAACAAGAACAAATAATTTCAAATTGCGTGATTCTGCACTCAAAAGTTATTCTTTGAATGTACATAATTAAATCATGGGAAGTATTTCCATGTGGTTAAATGGTTTTCTTTCAGGATTAAGCTGTGCAATTTCATTTACTGGAGTAATTCTACAACTGTAAAATGATCAATCAATCAATCCTATGAAATTAAGTTGGACCAATAATTACATAATGTTGAAAGAAAGTATAACCATGATTTAATTTTAACGTATATTAAAGTAAACTTTAAACTGTTGCCGTTTGCCATAGCAATAAAAAAGCAGTTCTTTAGTGGTGTCGACTGTCATCGTTTAAGCGCCAAACCCTATAGATTTACATACAGACCGCTGAGGTGAAACTGGAACTAACGAGGTCTTTTTCCAGCAGTAAGGAAGCTGGTAAAAACACTGTAGTGTTCACACTGTAACCTTGGAAACAACCATCTGGATTACGTTGGATAGGGAAGAAAAATAATCAGATTGATTGATGATCTGAAGTTCAAGGAGATTTCTAAACATATTTATGGACGATGACGATCAGAGATCTCAGCATCAGAGAGTAAACTGTTGTGATTGTAACATAATGTGTTTGATGATCTGTGAATATACAGATTTGTGTACAATGTTAACAGATGCTCAGTGCAGTAATCTCCACAGGGGCAGACATTTTTATGACCCTGACAGAGGTTGAAGTTGTGATTACAACAGCTTTAATTGTGCTGATCTGATTTGATTCGTTTCCATCCACATTTAATGCTCAGCCGATCTAATATAGTGCAGTTGGGCAGTTCTCTGGTCTTAATACTCTTCATATAGCGTACCACAATTGTGCTTTTTGAGGTGATGTGTGAAATGTGTTTTTCTGCAGTTCCTGTATTCAGCAGTATATTGATCTGTGTCCTTGCTGGTACTTCCTGTCTGGAGTACCTGCGGTGTCTGCTGTAACACACTGACTGTGGATGAATACCTCACACAACCCACTTCGCTCAATCAATCTAAATTAACCTGTTAAACGTCCCTGAAAACATCAGATCTGTATGCAGCGATGAGGAGACTGTAGCCTCCCTTACATCAGAAATGTCCAATTTCCATCCTTTGACCTTTGACCTTTGTCTCGAGCTGTTTTAATGACATTGTCGTGTCCTCGTCTTCTGCAACAGTTCACTGGCACAGACTGCAGAATTTGCTCCACCAGCTCTCGACCAACACCTTAATTTGTTATTTCTTTTGCAGATTTTCTGTAAATTGAGTTACAGTCTGTTGTTTATCATCATTCAGTGTTTGTGGAGGGATGATGGATGATCTATCACAGCCGCCATATTGTTTCTGATGATAAATTACTTTAGACAACCTTCAGCTCACATAAACTCCAGTTTCACACATTGTGATTTAAATATTGTGGATGTTAACAACACACACACACAAACACAAACTGATGTCTGGTTTCTCATGCTGAGCCGACTGCTGCTCTCTTATTTTGGCGGTCATATAAGGAAGTGGAGCCGGTTGTGTTAAATGTCAGTGGTATTGTTTGGTGAAGTGTCTCCTCTCAGACTGAATCAGATCACAGAGCTGCTCTCATCCTCGCCGTTACCATGGCGCCCAGAGAGGACGATGAGCAGCTAATAAACACAACAAACACACACACACACCACAACAGACACACATAACAAATCTACACAACAAATATAAACAACAAACATGTAGACTTGAACAAACATCAGAGTGATAAGAACAACCTAAAATCACAGAAACCATCTTTGGTAAACATTTATTTGACTTTGATTTGTTTAGGTTTGTCCCATCTGTTTAAAAGGGGAACTTGGCCAACTCTAGCCATTTCTTCGCTGGTTTCCTACTTTTGTTTCATCGCACTGGCTTCTTCTCAACGAGCTCCCCCCCTACAGCTCTGGGGACCGTGTATTTCACCAACACGTTCGGGGTAACAAAAAAACTCACTTGCCACAACCTTCCCCCCCCCCTTCTCTACCGGCTGCTGGATGTGCCTTTTTTTGCCGCGGCAAACTTTTTCGTGTGAAGCAATATCTTCCGAGTGGGTAAATACATTATACCACTAAGCGTTTTGAAGGGCGGCCCGTGTCCTTTATGTGGAATCTGCCGTAAAGCCGTTTCTCGCGATACTTCCTATTTCCAAATTGTACCGGCGACGTTTTTTTTTTTTTTAGTTTTCCCCAAAGCTGCAAAGGTTAGTTTTCCGCCTGGGGTCGCCAGAGGGGGGTGGGAGGGTCACCATTTTCACCGGAACAGGCCATTTAACCATCCAAATGATTTCTAAACGGGTTTATTAAGCTGAAAAAGTTGCCAAGTTCCCCTTTAACATGGAGACTTTATGAGCTACACTGCAGTCAGCCACCAGGGGGAGATAGAGAGAGTTTGGCTTTTGGAGAGCTGTCATGTCGTTAATCTTTATATATGTTGATAGTTTGTTCCTTTCCTCGCCTCGCGTCTTCCAGCTGTTTGTAACAAGTCTTTCATACAAAGGAGACACCTGTATGTCCTCAGTGATAGCTCTTCCTTTTTCTTCCTTTTTCTCTCTTCCAGGTGCATTTTAGGAGGTAGAAGAATTTTTCAATATGGCTGCGCTGAGATCAATTTGCGGGGTCACAAGCAGGAGGTTGGAGGAGATGAGGAGGCACCAAATGGAGAAATGAGTTTCCTGTCAATCCAGATGAAGAGCAGCTCAGTTACAAACAAACAGAATGAGCTTGTCGCCTCCTGCTGCTTTCACTCATCAGACTGTCATCAGCAGAGAGGCGACGTTTCAGTTTCCTTTAATTAGTTTCTCTTCACACTGGGAGGATTTCACCTCAAAGACAACGAAGGTCAGACTGCGATGTCTTTAGCACAGAGGACGGAAGGAGGAGTTTATGATTTGTGATTGTTGTTTGATACCAGGAGCTCTGATCCATCGCAGCAGGAAGTCTCTATAATCAACACACTGTCTCCTAATCAGACCACAAACACACTGCAGGTCCACACTCTGCCTCCAGGATCAGGTCCACACTCTGCCTCCAGGATCAGGTCCACACTCTGACTCCAGGATCAGGTCCACACTCTGATTCCAGGATAAAGCCTAAAGTCTGCCTTCATGTTGGTGAAAAACTTGTCATTTTATGATCTGACCTGACCAAACTACCTTTTCAGTGCCTTCTCTCTCCGCTTCCCTACAGTATCAACAGTGTGCTAAGCTTCATCCAGACTCCCGGGGCTAAACTTGCTGGGTTGACGTTTGCAGGTTATTGGGCAGAAAACGGCGCTAACGATAGCTTTCTGTTAGCCAAGAGTGATGCGAGGAAGGGGCATCCAGCTAGCTAACTGTAACTCTAACTAGCTACAGTTTAATGAAAGTTACATATTCAATGTTTAAGCACAGTGTGATCAAACACAGCAGGCAGACCAGATAAAACCTGGTGTTCAATGTTTAAGCACAGTGTGATCAAACACAGCAGGCAGACCAGATAAAACCTGGTGTGGTGCTATCACTGAGGACATACAGGTGACCAGATAAAACACACTTAAAGTTTACCGTGTGTGTGTTGACGGTATCTGCTGCTCACTGTGTCAAACCCAGATACTGAAGGCTTCACAAACACTGCTGAGACTAAAAACAATACTGATCAATACCTGCAGACATCAGCTGGTCTCAGTGTGCTGCTGTGGACAGGAAGGAATCAGCTGTATTATGACAGCGTGCAGCAACAGGGTCCATCAGTTTCTGTAAAAGATCACAGGCTGATGTTCTGATGCTGAACAATAAGACACATTTTAATCATCAGGTTGTTTCGGGTTCAGAACAAAGACGGCCGCCTGCAGAGGTCACAACCTGAGAAAAATAAAGTTGTTTTTTTTGCCCAGCAGAGAGAATTCGTCTGTGAGAGTCGGATCCTCAGTCGGATCCTCATACACTGTGTCGCTCTTCCTGCCAGCTGACACATCAACTTCTATCATTTATTTATGGAAATGTATGGAAATGAGCTGATAAATGTATTATATGACACAAAATGTGCCTCAGTGTGGTTCAAGGAAACAGCCTCATACAAATTCAACACTGATGAGTCACAGATTCATGAGTTTTAATAATATTCAGTCATTGTGACGCCCATTCTTTATAAAAGAAACTATGTGTTCTGATTATCTACAAAGGAAATGTTGTTTGTTTAGTGAAGGCGGCGTTGTTCCAGGTCCCCGAGTCCCACCTGTTTTAAACTCTCAAGGTTTAGGAGAGGTGGAGGTCTTGTGTTGTGACCTCTTCAATCAGCCCATCCAGGATTTTGTGTTGTTTTGGGTTTGTTG